TTAAATATTTCATTAATTAATTATCTTAATTGGTTATGTATATTATTTATTTAATATTTAATTAGAACATAAATCACACGGTGAATGGGAATATTTAACAGAGATGAGAATCAAACATTGGGTAAAGTCATATTTTCAAGACATCGAACATTATTCAAGAATACTAAAATTATATTTCCTCTACCAAATGAAGTCGAATGGGAAGTTCTCGATTATAATATGTTACTCTCTATCCAACGGATGTGTAATATCTATTTAAATCAAATGTACTATCTATTTATAATGTTTTATTGATTTCCTCATTTTTCTCTATTTATAGTGTGTTATTAAGTACATGAAAATTAACACAATGGATATGTAATATCTACTTAAATCGTATGTATTCCCTATTTATAATAAGTTACTGATTTTCTCATTTTTCTTTATTTATAGCGTGCCATATATGTAATTAATAGTAATTAATTATTTATTATACAATTACATAAAACTAAAGTATTACAAACGTTTTTAAAAAAAAGCTTGCATTTTAAATTATTACTACTACGGATCACAATGTACATAAAAGAACGCTTACATTTAAAAAAAAATGCTTACATTTAAATGTGTGTTTGGTTTATCAGCTCTACGCTATGTTCGATGCCAAAAATTCAATGTACTTCAATGTGAATACTCCACAATCGCCCCGGGTCAATTTCACTAAAGAGGTTGGACAACGTACCGTAGATGAATGTTCTCTTCTTCACCTCGATCGTGTATGGAGAAACAATATATTATGACGGCAATCTAGTCCTCTCGCTAACTATCTGCTCTGGCACGTCAATAACATGTTTTTTATAGGGTGTCAGTTCCATTACTCTCTCCGGCATAATTACCACGTCATTCAAACTCGCGACATTATCTGTCAAGTTGGGGGTATATTTAATATTTAATTACTTTGTTTAATTATTTATTTAATCACTTAATTGAATAAAAAATTAATATTTAATTTAATTTCTTATTTAGATATTTCATTTATAAATTATCTTAATTGGTTGTGTATATTATGTATTTAATATTTCATTACCTTATTTAAATAAATTTTACAACATATACAATTATTTCATAAATAAAAATCTATACAATTATTTTATAAATATAACTCTTACAATTATTTCGTTCCCTCCATCTGCACCTCTCCCATCCCCACTCACATCCATAACAATTCTAATGAAACATCTGTGTACATCCTTACCCCTCTACCGCCACCTTCCCTATCACCATCTCCGCCACCCTCTTTGTCACTGTCTGGGACCCATCGCCTGCCGACCACATCTCTTCGGATATGACTCTTAACTTTTCACCTCGATCAACGGTGTCAACTCAGTAAGTATTTCAAGCTGACATATTAACATTTCATCGAATTAATCACCATGCATCGAGATTTTCGAAATGACGTATAACATAAATCACAAATGAATAATACGTACCTCAGGATCATCGAGGAGAGCTGATAAACATCAACTCTATTCCCATGGATAGTTGTTTTATGTGTCAATGTCATCAACAACCTCCAAATAAAAGATGTCGATCGACTTTTTTGTGTGATGACATCTCAGTATGCTCTCCAGTATAAACATCATCCCCAACTTCAACTTGTCAGACATATCGTTGCATTCACTAAATGCGTCTCATAACTGTGTCAGAGTTGCTATCGTAAGCAAGATAGACGTGGACTAATGCGAAGCTGGCAGAGTTACAGGTCGATGTAACTTTGTCGAGAATTTGTCTCATGGCGGCTCCTGTAAATTTTAAAATGTTAGGACCTTGTGTAAGAAACAATGGATAAATCATAATGATTGAAAATTAAATTGTTTATTTAGTTATTTAAATTGTTTATTGAATATTTAATTGTTAATTATTTATTTAAATTGTTTATTTACTTATTTAAATTATTTATTCAATATTTAAATGTGTATTTAAATTATTTATTTTAAATTTTTTAGTTGTTTATTCAATATTTATTTTAATTGTTAGTTGAATGTTTTATTGTTTATTTTAAATGTTAATTATCTATTTCAATTGTTTATTTAATATTTAATTATTTATTTTTATTCTTTATATTTTTGGCTCATTTAAATTATTTATTTAATACTTAAATAGTAATTATTTATTTAATATTTAATTACTTATTTTTTATTTTTTATATTTATTGTTCATTTAAATTATTTATTAACATATAAATGCTAATTATTTATTTCAATTGTTTGTTTGAATTGTTTATTTGATATTTAATTACTTATTTGAACTATTTTTTAATTATTTATATTTATTTTTTGTTTATGTTAATTAATTATTTTTATTGCTTAATTAATATTTAATTTACTTCTTTATTGAATTTATTTCAATTAGTTATTTATTATTTCAATTAATTATTTTAATTTTTTTATTAATATTTATTTCAATTAGTTTATTATTTCAATTAGTTATTTATTATTTACTTAAATAAAAAATATACATAAATAATTAACATAATTCATGAAATATTTAAATAAACAAATAAAGTATAAAATAAATAATTATATATTAAACAAATAATATACATAAACAATTAAAATAATTACTTAAATATTTAAATAAAAAATTAAATTTAATATTGATTTATTAAATTATTTATTTAATATTTAATTTATTTTTTATTTAAATATTTCATTAATTATTTTAATGGGTTATGTATATTGTTTGTTTAATATTTAATTATTTATTTAATTACTTATTTTAATTTTTTAATTAATATTTAATTACTTCATTTAATTATTTATATTAAATATTTATTTATTTTAATTTCTTATTTAATATTTAATTGTTTATTATGTTTATTTAAATTGTTTATTTCATTATTTAAATTATTTATATTTTAAATAAAATGAAATAAAAAAATTATTTCACTTAAATAAACAATTTACATAATTCATGAAATTTTTATAAACAATTAAATTCAATCTTAAATTTAAAAAAATGGTTGGGCTCATAGGCCCAGCATCTGGGCACGCTGAGCCAGGTCGTCTGGGGCCCTCTGGATTTAGATAGTGACGTCATTGTCGTCTGCTTTATCGTAGGTGGTTGGAAAATGGTGGAGATTGCCATTTTCGACTATCTCCGCCACTGAAACAAGTCACAATTCGCTTTTTATGCATACAAGGATTATATACTATCATTTTTTGCATATATTGTTTAATAAATTTGAGAATAAGTATGGTTTATTTGAAAAATTAATTGTCCACAATGGTTTCAAGAAACTTTCCAGAAATACTCTTATTTCTTGGCTTTTGATCGGCGTCTGAGCATCGGTTTCTCTCCTTTTTTCGGCATTTGGATTCTAATCAAATGAACAGTGTATTTTTTTTTTTTTGTACTTTGGAGGGTATAAATGGGACTTAATTGATTTTTAAGGTTTTAAACATTTGGGTAATTATATTACCACTACAAATTTTACTAAGTACACCACAATTTTCTTATTTACTAAAATATCCTTAAGTAAAATTACATAATTAGGCTTTTAATATACTTTTTAATTAAATAAATTATTGTTACACCACAAATATAAAATCTAATTTCATTCTTTCTTTTCCCCCAACATCTCTTGCCAAAGTTTTTCCGGCTATATATATATATATATATATATATAACACACTGGAATTCCACGAACTGCACGCATGCATTTGTTGTGGTTTATGAATTTACGCACCATTACTTATTAAAATAGGTTTATGATTTTTTTTTGGTTAAATAAGGTGTTTTCGTTGACTTGTGTGTGAAGTCAGTCAGTTTTCATAAACTTTTCTGTACGCAGGACATTTTTCTTTTGTATATTACGTTTATGAATTTTCGTGTGCATGCATTATTGTTTGTCAACATAATTGTTGAGTAGACTTATTTTCTAACTGGATTGTGATATTTAGTTTAGCACAAATGGATGTAGCGATTGACACTACAATTTCATTTGAATTTTCGAAAGTTGTTCTTAATCAACAAGAAGTTTTATTATTATATTGTATTTATTTTTAGGCCTGTCATAAATTTAATTTTTAATAACTTATCATAATTTACTTCTATTTGTTCTAAATGTCAGGAAAATGATGACGACTTCAATATATACGATTATACCCAATACATTACTATTAACTAAGTATGAATAAATTGAATATTAAATTTATGTATTCATTCAACTCTTGTTGCAAATTTTTTAGTTATAGTTTTTTAATATTGATTGTGTAGGTATTCCATAGTCGAAAGTCATTATGTAATTGGGTTCGTATGGTTGGGAAGGAACTAGGTTTGGTTATTGTTATAATACATTCCGAGCATGATGGTTATGGACGCAAGCCACGTATAAGCTATGGATGTGAGCGTAGTGGAAAATATAAAAAAAGGTAAACATCATTCAGATTGTGAACCAAAACGAAAGAGGTCTATTGGAACACATAAGTGTGAATGCCTGTTTGATCTAAATGGTGTGAAGTTGCTGACTGAGGACGATTGGATGTTAAAGGTATCGTGTAGACTACATAATCATCCACCGACACAACATTCAGAAAGACGTCCTTGCGTACAAAGATTAACTAATGAAGAGGAGCAGATTTTGATCTATATATCAAAAAGTATGGTAAAACCTAGGAACATATTGATGGCTTTGAAAGAACGGGATCCAAATAATGTTAGCACAATGAGGACTATTTGCAATGCATGTGCAAGACATAGATTGATTGAGAAGGAAGGAAAAACACAAATGCAATAATTAATGAGCAAGTTAAAAGAACACATTTATATCGAGTGGCATAGGTCTCATGAAAGAACGGATGAAGTTAGAGACCTTTTCTTTGCTCATTCGACGTCCGTCGATTTCTTGCATGCCTTTTCATGCGTGCTTAGAATGGATTGTACTTACAAAGTATATCTAATTAAGTAAAGTATATTTATATTATTCGCAGAGTTGAGAGTGCACATTCTTAGTCGAAGAAACACCTTGGATAATCACAAGGCGATTTTGAAACTTCATGGAAAGTTATGCATCACCAATTGGAATTGCAATTTAGTGAGATAAAAGCTTCGTTTGAATGAAGCATAAACTTAGTTCAACATACCTTCAAACGTAGTCTATTTAGGGAGCTGAGTGGTTTTGTGTCCAAGAATGCAATGGATCGTATATCAAGATAGTCAAATGAAGCAGAACATATTGGTTTTGACAAAAATGCTTGTCATCGCACTCTTAGATCAACACATTGTTTGCCATGTGCATGTGAAAATTCAAAATACATAATTACAGGTCGTCCTATTCCATTGTCAGCTATTCAACCTCATTGGAGAAAATTAGATATTTTGGTTCCATTAAATTATACTTTTTCCAAATTGAATATTGAAGTTGAATTAGAGAACATTCAAAGATTGTTTGGCGAATGCGAGGACACAGGTAAAGTACTTCTTAAAATGAAAATACGAGAAATGTATGAACCCTCCACTAATTCTCTAGTACCGCTTGCTAAGAAAGTTAAAACCAAGGGCCGACCTTCATCAAAAGTTGATACTTCAACTAAAAGGGCTCCTTCATATTTTGAAATTGTTCACTCAAGTAACGATAATCATTTTCGTACCACCGACAGTTCCGTCAAAGTTCCGAAGACGGATAAACTTAAAGTTAGGCGATCACGTATGAGTAATTTATACCCTTACATAACTTTTTTCCATGATAGAGTCAAAGATTGTATATTTAACATTGTTGATGTTAAGTCTGATGGTCATTGTGATTATAGGGCAGTGGCTAGTTCCCTTGGATTAGGAGAGGAGGCTTGGTTATGTATTAGACGTGATCTTATTACTGAAATGAAATGTAATTATGATGCCTATGTAAAACTATATGGCAACATTGAAAGGGTGAAGGAGTTGTTATGTATTATGGATTACTTTAATATTGGTGCCCCGTATGATCAATGGATGACAATGCCTGACATGGGCCATTTGATAACATCTCGTTATGGTGTCGTACTTGTCGTCCTATCTCCTATACAATGTTTGACATTTCTACAATTGCACTCTCAACCTCTACCATTAAATCATAAGATTATATCACTGGGTTTTCTGAATGACAATCACTTTGTTCAGGTTTTTTATTTTAATTAATTGACCATATCTATCACTTGTACAGGTCAACTTGAAGCCTAATTGTCCAATTCCACTCGTGACCTATAATTGGTAGAAATATAGAGATGAAATTGCTTGTGAATGGGAGAGTATGTATAAAGCTCGAATAGAGACATTCAAAGAGATGATTGGTACTGATATCGCTACGCGTGAGATTTTTAACGTTAATTCTCCTTGATTTAAATGTTGCAGTTTTGTAGAAATTGTTCCGTTTTGTTGACAATTTGATGTAAATCCAAATTGTAATTTTTATCCTAAGTTCTTATAGGACATTTCTTAAATTGTTAACGTAATAGGTGAAAACCATGATGTTTCATTGGATTGACCCTGCTATGACTTTTTTAAAGTTAAATTAGCTACGATACCATTCTTGGTCCAATACCACTTTACTACTCTAATTTTTATGATTAAACTCTATGATTGAAGTCCTAAACGAATAACAATCGGCTTCGTGAAAAGAAAACCTATTCGTTATTATAACATTTTTATCCATAAAATTATAAGGTTGTTGTCTATAAAATTTCTTAATTTCCGCTTAAAAGTGTTTCCAAAATCAAAACTTTGGGTGGTGGTATTTGTTGTGGATTAGTTAATGCTCTTTCATCTAACTTTCAATCTATTTTGTTTCTTAAAACATAAAATTTTGGTCAGAAATTGATTTTACGTTGGTATTATAACATCTCTGGCTATTTTATTAGTCAAAATAAATAAATAAATGGTGATAAGTACACAAAAATATTTTATTATTATTATTTTTTTTTTTTGTTTGAATTAGGAGTATAATTGTAAATTTAATGTAGAATAGTCATTAAAAATATATTTTTAATTAAGGTGTGATTATAATGTGGTGTAGTAATTAAAATTTGTAGTAGTAATATAGCCTTTATTGGAGCCCCATTTTTCCACCAAAATATATTTTTCCACAGTGATTTGACACCATTTCAATCACACATTTTTCAATAAAATAATATTATACGTAAATGAAAAAAAATTTCTTATTTTTTAATCACATATTTCCCATCAATACACTATTTAGAAATTCATTTTAGATGGAAATTCATTTTCTCATCTAAAATGGAACTCAAACAAGGGCATAATTAGCCTAAACATTTTTGCTTCATTTTTTTTTTAAATGGTCAAAGGCCATATTGGAAAGATGGCCGGCCAATCTTCCACTAATTACCTCCGCTTAAACCCTGGCCGCCGGCTCTTTCTATTTTGTGTTTATTTCCAACCTTTTCCCTCAACAAAACCCAAAATAGGTAATCTAATCCAGTGAATATTTCCATTTTATCTCTTGGGTTATGAATGTCTTAATACATTTGTTCATTGTAATATTCGTTTTATGCTGTTGTTTCGTTTAGTCGTGTTTTTTTCTAAGGCATTAATTTGAACAAACGAAACCTAGAAATTATAGGTTGTGTCTTTTTCTGGGATAAATTGAATACCTGAATTGTTTCTTAGCTTATATTTATTTTATAATCAATTTGGTTATTATTGTCTGCTAATTTGTTTCTTGGTGACACCTACTTTTCCTTTTCTTAATTCATCTTGTTCCCCATTTTTTTCCAGATAGAATTGGTCATGTTATGATTGGGGTTTCTCCATTCTATGTTTTTAGCCTTGCTTCCATCAAAAGGTATCCATTTTTTCATCAGAGGTTTTCATTTGTGTAAGCAATTAACTAGCCCAAGTACTGAAGATATTATCTTCAAGGCTATTTGTGTTAATATAAGGCAAAAGAAATGGAAGTTTTTGGACCAAGTATCTCCAGCTCTCACAAATTCTATGGTTTCTCGCATTTTTTGCGAGTTCCAGAGCTCTCCACTGCTAGTTTTAGAGCTTTACACCAGAGTTGGAGGGTGCAAAAGTGTCTTGGATTCGTTGGAGTCTTCTTGTACGCTGATTTGTGTGATGGTGAAGTATAAACGATATGATGAAGCATTGGGTTTGATGAATGAATTGATGATATCAAAAGGGTATTCACCTTCGGAGATTTTGGAAGCATTGGTTAATAGTTCTGATGCAAATTTTTCAAGTTCTGCCGTATATGATGCGTTAGTGAGGGCATGTACCCAAATTGGGGATACGGAAGGTGCTTATGATGTGATGAAAAAGTTGAGAATACAAGGTTTTCGGGTTTCTATTTATGCATGGAACAATTTTTTGAACCATCTTCTGAAGATAGATGAGACTGTCAGGTTTTGGATGGTGTATAAGGAAATGATTTCGTATGGATATTATGAGAATGTGAATACTTTCAATTTGCTTATAAATGCTCTTTGTAAGGGCTATAAATTGTCTGAAGGATTCTCTGTTTTCTATAGGATGTTGAAATGCGGGATTGTGCCCAATGTTGTTAGTTTTAACATGCTTATAGATGGAGTTTGCAGGATGGGTGATCTTGATTTAGCTCTTGAACTGGTTAAGAAGATGGAAATTATATCAAATGGCATCTTCAAGCCTAATGTAGTTACATATAACTGTCTTATTAATGGGTATTGCAAGTTGGGTAAGCCAGAAACTGCTGAAGAAATTATGAATGAAATGATTAAAATGGGAATTGAGCCTAATGAAAGGACTTTCGCGACACTGGTTGATGGGTATTCCAGAAGCGAGTGTTTGGAGCAGGCATTTAGGCTTTGTGATAATATGGTTGAAAGTGGCTTGATACCCAATTCAGTGGTTTATAATACAATCATCCACTGGCTATATGTGGAAGGAGATATGAATGGAGCTTCCTCAGTATTGTCAGACATGATTAAAAGATGCATATCCTCCGATCAATTTACACACTCTATTCTTGCAAAAGGATTATGCAGGAGCGGGCACATCAATGAAGCTTTGAAATTTCACAACCGGAATATAGAAAATAACCTTGTGGAAGAGCCCTTCTCTCACAACATTCTCATCAATTATCTTTGCAAGAACAAGAACATGACAGGAGCTAAACAACTTCTCTGCAGTATGTTTATTCGAGGTATAATGCCTGACCTGGTTACGTATGGCACCATGATTGATGGGTATTGCAAGGTAGGCGATACAAAAAGTGCAGTCGAGGTTTACATGGACATGGTTAAGATGGAAAAGAATCCAAACTTGGTAATTTACAATTCCGTTGTAAATGGTTTATGCAAAGAAGAACGCGTGGATGTAGCAAGATCTTTGGTAGATGCAATGAAGAGGACAAATATATATGATGTTGTAACTTTTAATACAATGTTTAATGGATATTGCAGTACGGGGAAGTTTGAAGAGGCTTCTCATTTATTTGTGAATATGAGAAAGGAAGGAATCTTGGCGAACACGGTCACTTGTAATATTTTGATAAGCTTTCTGTGCAAATTTAGGTTATTTCAACAGGCCAAGAAAGTTGTGAAAGCAATGGTTGCCCAGGACTTGAATCCGGATTTTGTGACATACACTGCACTTCTGGCAAACTTAAGCAACAAGAGCAGTTCCGAGGAGGTCATTAAAATGCACGATTTTATGGTGCTCGCTGGAGTAATTCCTGATGATGAAACATATAAAGCTGTTGTGAGTCCACTTATTAAAGAAACTTCAACTGAGTTTGATAAAGTTATGGATAGATTTTAGCTT